TCTACGCTACTGCACGCCCCTCAACTACGCACTGATGATGTCACCTCGATTGGTGACGAAACGTTTGCAACCAAATTGCCAAGCTCAGCGAACAGTTCAACTGCCCCCTGTTGGGTGTCCTGGTGAGTAGTCGGAAAACGCTAATGAAAAAATCCAGTTGGTGCTTTTACTATCAAAAATGGACTTATCGTATTTATTGCAGTGGCCAAACAGTCCGTGTTTCCGTAGCTCCAATAGGCGAAAAAATAAATCGGTTGTTTCTCGGGAGCAGGATGGAGAGTTGTATCAACCCGTCCAGGCTCAGATGGCATCTTCCCAACTGCCATAAAACTCAAAGTATAAACCTCACTCTACTGTTATTCAACATCTTCACACTTTCTCTCACTACCGGCTGCTTTCCAACTCAATGGAAGCAATCCATTATAATGCCAAAGCACAATGGTGGCCCGAACAATGAAGTGTCAAGTTACCGCCCAATAACACACTTCTGCTTCTAAAGCCCTAGAGAGAATAGTCAAGAAAAACATTGTTCAATATCTTACAAGATTGGATCTGATCAACCCCTTTCTATCAAAACGCTCCTGCGTTAGCTGCTAGCCACAATTCTTCGATCACGTCAAGACTATGATTGACAGAGGAATGGCAGGCATTATAATTCTGTTGCATGTGCAAAAGGCGTTCGACCGCGTGCCGCTCAAGCCACTGCTCTCTGATTTATAGTCATATGGAATTGAAAATCCTGTGCTAAACTGGTTTAACTCATATCTAAACGGTCGAACCCAAGTAATTAAAATTAAACCGAAGCAAATAACCAGCGGCGTCTTCTAGGGAAGTGTACTCGGACCACTACTTTTCTTAATCTACGTAAACAATATATGTGACCCGATCAAATATGGACATCCATTTCTGCTTGCAGATTACGTCAAACTGGTCTACTCATCTCATCCACACCAACTACAAATGTGCCTGTGAAACATCTGTGAAGACCTATCCGCAATAAATATAGCTAGTGAACGTTTATTAATGAAGTTCTGCGCAGTGAAATCCTAAGTACTTGGGTACAGATGCCGCATCCCAGAAGGCTCATTAGTACTTATCAGTACATCACATTTGCCGGAAACGTGATCCCAAAGTCTGATTTAGTTCGAGACTTAGGAATTAGGTACTCCAACTCTTTCATTTTCTCCGAACATGTGCCTTATCAGGTTGCGAAAGCAAGACAATTATGCGAATATATCACCAGAAGTTTCTCCCTACCTGAAGCACGAGTTGAGTCATTCAAGACAATAGTACGACCGACTCTGGAATACTGTACCATCGTTCACAGCCAATTGAAAAAGAAAGACAGAACGACTCTGGAAAATGTCCAAGGATCATTTACCAAGCTGGTCATGGGGCGCTGCTGAACCCTGAGTTATTATGATAGCTGTCGAAAACTCCAACTGGATCCTCTTTGGCTGAGACGGTTAATGAACAACCTCGTTCTCTGATACAACATTGTAAACCAACTAATTTACGCAGACAGCACCGCACTTGAACTACGGAAGACTGCAGTCTACCCCACAAGTAATGGCGGCTACTTGATACGCACAAACCTTTCAAGTCATAAAACTCGGTCGAATTTCTTCTTAGTGAGATACACTGATCTGTGGAAAAAACTACCCCTATAGATACGCATGTGTACAGACCATGTCACGTTTCCAAAGTTCCTTCAGACGTTCCTCATTATACCAAATGTGTTGAAGATCTTTGACCCATAGAAAACTCTAGGAACATGGACAGAAGCTAGCATAAAATACAAATGAGTAGATATTTACTTACAACTAGCCTACCCACTACATGTCATTACCTACAATACGAAATCCTGTGTCTGTGCAGCCTAGTATCCCCTCTCATTTATTATCTACTCATGAGCCCCACGAACTAGAAAATGATGATACAAATATCAGTAATTTTTACATATCAGTTGCTCGGATGTAGGACCCGAAGCAAAAAAATCATGATCCGAAATTCTATTATTTAACTTTCCTTTAATATTATTATTTACGACGTATAAACCATGAAACCTATTCACTATACATATGATCGCTCCCGCTTATAGGGTCGTGTACCGTTTGTCGGTAAATATACACGTTTATTTATTTATTTATAAGTAACAGAAAATAAGTGGCGGAGTGCGTCATCCAACCGACTTTTAAACATAGCTGGTGTAGGTGCACAAAATCCGATGCAGAGAGAGCGTTCTATGGTTGAAACACGCTAAGAGAAAGAAATTTCTACGGCATTCCAGACGACTATACTGTCCTGCTAATTTCAAGGCTGACCATTAAGGTTGATGTCAACGTTGAGTTGCAGTAAAGAGTGACATAGATGAGTTGGATTGTGTAAAATCAAGTATACCATTCTCAAGCGCATCGTATTTCGCAATACCGCTCGTTGAATATCCCCAATCCTTTCCGCCTCTGCTCGTACAGAAAGTGGTGCATTCCAATGACGTATTTGGAAGCCAGCCGTTGAGGTTTGTCCAGTGCAGTGAGGTCGTGTTTCAGCCATGGCTGCCAGGCTTGAATTGCGTATTCGACATTGGAGCGAACGTACGCATTGAGCATCTGTCCAAAAATAGAGTTGTCTATTTGTACGAACGCCGTTGGTTACAGATTTTCCATGTCTTTTCAGATTGCTTGGAAAAACCCGTTATGCTGAACCAGCACGCCAAGGTAGCGCTCGACGGATGATCGCTGCAGTACTTACATTTATAGCCTGTAGGGGCAGGTATTCTGGTGACGTATGGAGAGTACCTTGAATTCTGTCAAGTTGAATTGCAGATTTTTGGTTGGCCACTGAGGTGCCAAATCTAGGTCACATTGAAGTAAATGCTGCTCGCCATCTGCCTGAATCTGGCGCCAAATCTTGATATAGTCAGCAAACAGTAGGAAATCTGAAGCGGTTGTCCGTGCAAAGGCATTAATAAATACCAAAAGCAATCGTCGTCATAAAACTGAGCCATGAGGAACACCAGACTCCACTAGTATCGGGTCAGATAAGGAACTCCGGACTCTGACCACTAATTTTTGTTACAGGAGAAAGTTGGCGATCCAGCTCAAGAGAGAGTCACCGATCCCGTAATATTGGAGCTCAGAAATGGGAATCCGATGATCTAAACGATCGAATACCTTCGACAAATCTAAGCAGATCACAATAACAGTCTTTCCAGCGTCGGCTGACTCGGTTTAACTAAGAAATTCGTTGTGCACTATCACTTTCGATGAAAGTGGTGTTGCTCGGGAGCGGTAACGCTACAATTTGCTAGATGACATACCAAAGCACCGGTAAGGATGTATGCCATTAACTTGGACAGTACAGAGAGGAGACTGGGGTCAGCCCTGCTTCCGCCTTCGTGTATCGGAATTATTATTCCAAGCTTCCACATCACAGGAATCTGGTTCTGGTATAAGCAGCGCTGAAAGCACTGGGCCAAAGGCTCCACCAGTTGTCTTGCTGCCGCTCCCAGTGCCTCTGGGCGAATGGTATCGACTCCTTAGAAGCTGCGGTTGCACAGAGACGTCAGGTTCAGCAGTAAAAGAAATGTAGGTGGCACTACTACCCACCCCCCCCCTCTATAAGACGCCACACCACCCAACCCCCCGCAACACCCATCACCCCTCCGCACTTCCCTGACCACCAGAGAATATCCCCCCGCTATACCGAACAACCAACCCCCCACGATAAACCCCCAAATCACCCACCACACACTACCTACCCCAGCTCTCCCGCGACCTAGCCCTAGCCCCGACTCGACGGTTTAAAAACTCCCTGCAATGGGGTCCCTATAAACGTCACTCTTACCTCAACAATCCAAACGCGCCCTACTGATGCTTCTTCACCTCGCCCCCTGCCCCCCTCCCCCACCACTCCAATCCCAGACCCAATAGACCTCTGTCCCATCCCCCCCCCCCACCACATATCCCCTAACCCCACCCCATTCCCCACACGTGATCAGTACAGACCGCCAAGGATGAGGACGCCAGGACTAGAGATGAAGTCTGAATGGATCTAGAACAGCTGTGAAATAGCACGTCAAACGCGAAGATGAGAATAATCTCCTCGACATAGCATTGTCTAATTAAAACCTACCACACCCCACAAACCTCCCAACACCCCCGCCCCCCCCCCCCACCTACCCCCCACCCCGCCCCCGCCGCCCCCCCTGTTACTCTCTACCTGTGCAATGCCAGATTTTTTCATGTTAGGGTTGGCGCTTGAAAGTTTTTCTCCACTTTTCCTGCTGATTACTGTGCTGGGGCTTTGTCATATTTGAGCTCTTTGCGCTTCAGTGGCCCGCGATAAGGCGATAGTTTGTCCCCAGTATTGGGTTAGTGATAATAGTGTTCTCTCGCTGTGTACTGTGCATTGGCTGGCGTCCGGTCCATTCCCTTTCCAGTTCCGCTCAAATTACTGGAAAAAAAAAAAAAAGGGGGAAAAAGGAAAAAACAAAAAAACGTTTAGAATAAAAGGGTGTCCAACACCCATATAAGGGCCGGCTGATTAAAACCCGGCGAAGTAGGACCGTCATGATAGAGAGAGGGACCTTGCTAACAATACCCCATCGTCATTCGTTAACCATTGACGGAATCTCGCAAATAGCTTGACCTCCCTCAAATATACTAAATAAATCCACACCGTTTATAGTTAAAATTGCGAAAGAACATTCAAGCTAAACCTTTGTTGTTGGATGAGCGTATTGGGCGTGTGGTAGAATGGAAATACCTAGTTCAAATCTATGAGCGGTAGGTGGCCCTTTATCACTTTTTTTTCATAGTTTATCTATATGTCGGCAGCCTGCTTACACCCCCTATAGACGCGCAACAGATCTTGTCCCGTAAGTTTGTGCCGTATAGTATACGATAGAGTTGCCCATACACCCGTATCTCGCCCGTCCATCCCGCTGGGCACGTGGGGTCTATGGAGCACGAGTCATTGCACGCGCATCCGAATATACC